AATGACAGTGATGAAGTAGCAACAAAAATAATGTTATGGTTGGGGGTCACCACAACATGAGGAACTGTATTAAGGGTTCGCGGCAGTAGGAAGGTTGAGAAACATTGAACTAAATCATTAAGACGGAATCTGGGAATATCCCCTTTAGCTAATATTTCTGTTTTAATTTCCAGAGGGAAAATATGTTCTGTGTGTGTGTTTGGCTCTTAATTTATAACACTTTGTTATGGAGGTTTTGGTCTAGAACAGCATTTCTCAACCTGGGGGTCGGGATCCTTGGTGGGTCACCAGGGGGTCTCAGAGGGGTTGCCAAAGACCATTAGAAAACACAGTATTTTTATTTATTCTGTTGGTCATGGAGGTTCTTTGTGGAAAGTTTGTCCCAATTCTATCATTGGTGAGTTTCAGGTGAACTACAAACCCCAGTAACTACAATTCCCAAATGTCAAGGTCTATTTCCCCCAAACTCTACCAGTGTTCACGTTTGGGCATATTGAATATTTGTGCCAAGTTTGGTCCAGTTCCATCCTTGCTTCCACAGTTCCATCCTTGCATCCACAGTGCTCTCTGGATATAGGTGAACTACAACTCCCAAACTCAAGGCCAATGCCCACCAAATCATTCCAGTATTTTCTGTTGTCATGGGAATTCTGTGTGCCAAGATTGGTTCAATTCCATTATTGCTCAAGTTCAGAATGCTCTTTGGTTGTAGGTGAACCATAAATCCCAGCAACTACAACTCCCAAATGACAAATTTAATCCCCCCAACCCCACCAGTGTTCAAATTTGGGCTAATCAGGTATTTGTGCCAAATTTTGTCTAGTGAATGAAAATATATCCTGCATGTCAGATATTTACATGACAATTCATAACAGTAGCAAAATTCCAGTTATGAAGTAGCAATGAAAATAATGTTATGGTTGGGGGTCACCACCACATGAGGAACTCCATTAAGGGGTTGCGGTACTTGGAAGATTGAGAAACACTGGTCTAGAAACCTTAGGGCCTGGTGTGATTTAGAACCGACAACCGTACGTTGGATGTGTGTCGGAGTATGAGCAGAATGTCCCTTTTAGAAGTGTAATCAGATCTGAGATGGACCCTGTTTCGTGTAGACTGGTATGAGTTGGAACCACAGTGAGACCTTGTTGGGGTTTGGTTCCAGAACCGCAATGAATGCTCAAATACACAATGACATAGTAAAATGGTGGTCCCTTATATAAAATGGCAAAATCAGTATTTTCTTTTTGGACTCTTCAAGCTATGGCTAGTTAAATCCATGGATACAGAATGTGGATATGGAAATCCACCTGAACATTTGAGCCTTGTCCCATTTCCCTTCTTCCAGGCCACAGGGCTCTTTGTTGTAATTTCCTCCTCTTTCCACCAGGGGGCATCTGTTCCTCTCTCCATTGGAGGAAGAGTTGTGCAGGTCTGATGTTGTCAATCTTTGCATTGTGATGCTTTTGCTTCTTTTTCATTCATTTCACCGGATATATATACACACAAAGGTGAAGGGAGCGAGGTTGAGGAGCAGCACTTCAGAGCTGGAAGGCGGGGAGCTAAGCCTTCCCCCCTTAACCTTGTTCCACCGTCCCCGGCTGATTACCACAAGCTCCTTACAACCATATTTACAGCATCCTCTCCACATGGGGATTAGTGCGGATCAACACTAACAGGCTTGTGGTTAAAACTCCACAAAGAAAGAGGGAAAGAGACTGGTTATATAATGCCCCCCACCTCTTCCTCTTCCCTTCCCATGCTCCCAATCATAAAGCTTCAGAATTGGGTCTCAGTCCTGAATTTGCTAAACCCAGACGGATGCTGTGTTTACGTGCCATGGAAGGGTGGTAAGAGGGAAATTCAACAGGTTGGGTGACGGTGAGCATCAGTGTCATCCAACTTGTTACCCATTAGAGCTGAGACTGAGACAGAGATAACTTAAATGCCCCCCCCCCCCTTCTTCTATTTCTGAACTAGTCCTGCTCAGAAAAACTTTGCCTGCTATTTGCTAGCTGCTGGCAACCCAGAAAGCTGTTGGGATACGTGGTTTGTACGTACAAGTGAAAAGAAAGCAAGTGAGACTACATTCCAAGGCTCTCTGAAAATGAGGGAATAGAGCTAAAGAGCTGGTGCTGCCATTTCTTGGGATGGCCAGTGGAGCAAGAGGTCATGGGTTGTTTTATTTAAAAAATAAAATGATAATCTGATAACCATTCAGCAATTTAAGGTGCAGCAAACAGGAAACGTAATTTCAAAGCAGGGAGCTGTAAAACTTTAAGAAGTGGATTAACTTAAAATCCCATTGAGACATAATAATAGAACCTTATAGCTCCTTCAAGACGAACAAGTTTTAATGTGTTGTTGAAGGCTTTCATGGCCGGAATCACTGGGTTGCTGTAAGTTTTCCGGGCTGTATGGCAATGTTTCAGAAGCATTCTCCTGACATTTCACCCACATCTATGACAGGCATCTGCAGGGGTTGTGAGGTCTGTTGGAAACTAGTCAAGTGACTGGGTTGCTGTGTATGTTTTTTCAGGCTATATGGCCATGTTCTAGAGGCATTTCTCCTGACGTTTCGCCTGCATCTATGGCAAGCATCCTTATCTCTGATGCTTGCCATAGATGCAGGCGAAACGTCAGGAGAAATGCCTCTAGAACATGGCCATATAGCCCGAAAAAACGTACAACAACCCAGTGATTCTGGCCATGAAAGCTTCGACAAAACATTAGGCAAGTGACGTTTATATATTTTTGGAATGCCCAGGATAGGAGAAAGAACTTATGTCTGCTTATCTCCCAGGCAGCAACCAGCCAGGCTTTGAAGCTGCAAAACTGTTCCTTGATTTGTGTTTGGTCGCTGCGCTACAACCTATTTACAGACCCACCAAGAAATGCTACGTTCAGCAAAGGATAAGAAGGATCCTCTCACCTCTGCGGGAGTCTACCGTATACCATACAGCTGTGGACAAGTCTACATAGGGACCACCAAATGCAGTGTTGCCCAAGCATGGATCAAGGAACATGAAATATACTGCAGACTAATTCAACCAAAGAAGACAGCCATAGCAGAGCATCTGATGAACCAAGCCAGGCTTTGAAGCTGCAAGGCCATTCAGTGCTAATCAAGGTGGCCAATTGCAATATTCACACTTGCCTCAAGCAGACAAGAGTTCTTTCTCCCACCCTGGACATTATTCCAAAGATATATATATATAAACCCCATTATCCTAGTTTCCAACAGACTTCACAATCTCTGAGGATGCCTACCATAGATGTGGGTGAAACGTCAGGAGAGAATGCTTCTGGAAAATAGCCATACAGTCTGGAAAACTCACAGTAACCAAGCCTCTCTCAATAGTACTGGTAGTAACGAGACCCAAAACATTATACTTGATCCAATCTGTTTTTGGAAGCTGAGCAGAGTTGGAACGTGATGCCAATGCTGCTGGCTCTATTTCAGAGGAAGGCATGGCCACACCAGCTCCTGAGTATTCCTTACCTAAGGAAACCCTATTGGGTCACCATAAGGCTACTTGAGGGCATATGCATATACCACTTTGCTGCTGGCACCGTCTCTGTATCATAGAACCACCTCACAAGATTAATGGCAATATGTTGGCCTATTTGAATCATTGTAGTGCAGTGGTTCTCAAGCTGTAGGTCCCCAGATATTTTGGCCTTCAACTCCCAGAAAGCCTAACAGCTGGTAAACTGGCTGAGATTTCTGGGAATTGTAGGGCAAAATGCCTTGGGACCCACAGGTTCAGAACTAGGTATGGGCAATCCATGGTTCTAAATGGTTCTAAAGTACTTATAAAACCAGAGGGCGCTGGTGCTTTGCTTCCAAAGTGTCGCTAAAGTTCTGGTGGTGAATATTTCAGAACTCTAACAAAACTTTCAAAATTTCATTAATTTGTTATTGCCTATTTTTTATGACAGAACCAATTAGGAACTGCCATTTATAACAAAATTTTGAAAGTTTGGTAGAGTTCTGAATTTTTCACCAGCAGAACTTTAGCATTTGCTTCTAAAGTGTCGCTAAAGTTCTGCTGGAGAAAATTTCAGAAGTCTAACAAAACTTTCAAAATTTCATTATTTCATTATTGGCTATTTTTTTATGACAGAATCAATTAGGAACTGCCATTTATAATGAAATTTTGAAAGTTTTGGTAGAGTTCTGAATTTTTCACCAGCAGAACTTTAGCAATGCTATAGAAGCAAAGTACCAGTACCCTCTAGTTTTGTAAGTATTTTAGAACCAATTAGGACCACGGATTGCCCATGCCTGTTGAGAACTGATGTAGACCATAGAATCATCGATTTGCAGGAGACCTCAGTTCAACCCCCTGCCAAGAAGCAGAAAAATCACATTCAAAGCACCCTCAACAGATGGCCATCCAGCCTCTGTTTATAAGCCTCCAAAGAAGAAGTCTCCAACACACTCCAGGGCAGAGAGTTCCACTGCTGAACAGCTCTCACTGTTAGGAAGTTCAGATGGAATCTCCTTTCCTGTAGTTCGAAGCCATTGTTCCGCATCCTAGTCTCCAGGGCAGCAGAAAACAAGCCTGCTCCCTCCTCCCTATGACTTCCTCCACATAGTTATACATGGTCCTCATCATGTCTCCTCTCAGCCTTCTCTTCTGCAGATTAAACATGCCCAGCTCTTTAAGCCACTCCTCATAGGGCTTGTTCTCCAGACCCTTGAACATTTGAGTCGCCCTCCTTTGGACACATTCCAGCTTGCCAACATTTCCTTTCAATTGTGATGCCCAGAATTGGACAAGTGTGGTTCCAGGTGTGGTCTGACCAAGGCAGAATAGAGCATGGGTAGCATGACTTCCCTGGATCTAGACACCAGAGTCATATTTATGCAGGCCATCATGGAGGTGAGCTTGGTTGGGCTATTCCCACATTCTGAAATGTTCCTTCGTCATGCATTTATAATATAAGGCTGCCTCCTTTTTCTGTTGGAATATACTCCTCGGTGCCAAGTCTGATACACACAATGCCCTTTATTGAAAAACAGACAGGGTAACAGAAACTTAAAACACACTCCTCTTTAGTATATTAACCCTTGCCAACCCCTCCCTAGAAGTAAGTAACCCTGTTTTTTCTTACAGAAACAAGAAACACCGCTAGCGTGATAGAGGAAGGAAAAACGACGGACATCAAAATCCACATCTAGGAAGAATTATATTGGCTCTATAGTTCTGTTAGCTAGCTTGCTCGCCCCCATTCTCCAAAACAACCCAGTACAATACATCTTCGAGCAGTGTTGGGCAGTACAGTGACAAAACAGAGATGTATTTGCCGGTGTTATGTTTTGAAAATGCAAGGATCCAGAGAAACCAGAGGAAGCAAATCCATCCCATGGATCTGAGTGGTACTTACTTCTGAGTAAATGTGTGCCAGATGGGGAGTTGTTGGCCTCCCAGCTCTTGAACTTTTAAGAAATACGAAGGGATGTTATTATATTTAACTGAGTGCAAAAGAGAAAAGGGGACATAACTATTCTTAGGGTTTTGAACTTCAACTCCCACTATTCCTAACATCCTCAGACCCTTTCCTTGTCCCCCTCAGCCACTTAAGCTGAGGTGCCCCATAGGTGGCAGTTAACTGAGAGTATGATAATAATTTTCCCCATGGGTGCCAGGTAACCAAGAATATGATAATAACTTTCCCTATGAGTATCGGTTAACTGAGAGGATAATGACTTTGCCCATCGGTGCTGGTTAACTGAGACGATGATAATGTCTTTCCCCATGGGTGCTGGTTAACTGAGAGTATGATAATAACGTCCCCATGGGTGCTGGTAAACTGAGAGTATGATAATAACTTTCTCCATGGATGCCGGTTAACCAAGAGTCTAGTGTAGTAACTTTCCCCATGGGTACCAGTTAACTCTGAGTATGATAATTTACCCCATGGGCGCGGTTAACTGAGAGTACAACTTTCCCCATGGGTGCCGGTTAACTGAGAGTATGATAATAACTTTCCCAGTGGGGCCAGTAAACTGAGAGTATGATAATAACTTTCCCCATGGGTGCCGATTAACCGAGAGTCCATTGTTGTAACTTTCCCCACGGGTGCCGGTTAACCGAGAGTCCATTGTTGTAACTTTCCCCATGGGTGCCAGTTAACTAGTTTGGTGAGGCACTACAACTCTCTGGCTGAGAACTCTAAATATCCCCCCTTTTGAGCTACAAATCCCAGGATCCCAAAGGACAGAGGCCTGGCAGTTAAAATGGGATGGATCCTAGCACTATAATTGTGTTAAGCAAAAGAAGCCCCCGGTGGCGGAATGGGTTAAACAATTTTGCTGCCAGGACTGCTGACCGAAAGGTCGGCAGTTCGAATCCGGGGGACGGGGTGAGCTCTCATCTGTCAGCTCCAGCTTCCCATGCGAGGGCATGAGAGAAGCCTTCTGGTGAGCTTCATGACTAGTCTCCTGGATCAAAGATCAAAATCCGCTGACTCTTACCTCCTTTCTTCAACGTCTTTTATGTGTGTCTTTGTTTTTGTTTTTTTTGCAATTTAACAACAACAACAATAATAGCAATAATAATATTTTCCTTGTTTCTTACTGTTTTTCATACCTCAACCTTTCCTCAACCTTTCTTCCCCCTGCCCCTAAATATGTTCACTCAATTGAGCTTTTTTTAATGGCAGCGGGGCTGACCTTCCATTGAAAAATAATGAAAAATTAAAAGGACAGAAACAGAAAAAAGGATGGCTATCGCTAACAGAGTTGGTACAGGAAAGGGAATACAGTTGTGTTTATAGTCGTACTTTTCCATGAGTGTGCACAAATTCCCCCCCAAGTTCTATTTCTTTCACACATACACACACACACACACACACACACAGGGTATTACAATATTCCCCTTTACTTTGCATCATGCATACAAACATACGCTTCTATCAGAGCTTGGAAACAGTATTTCTTTAAAAAAGCTATAACTCCCAGAATTCTGCCAAGCGAGCACAGCCTTTGGCCATGTGGGCTGGGGATTCTGGGAGTTGTAGTCTTCCCCAAAATGAACTTTTCCAAGCTCCGATTTTTTACACCCATGCTTTCAATTTCCCTCCTAACAATTAATACCAAAGCTCCTATTTTTTCTTGGGCTCATACTGGATGAGTCTCATTATTGCATCGTTCTTCATCACTCCTTCAATAAACTCCTTCTCAGCAAGTTTATCTGTTGGAAAAGAAAGAAAGGAAGACACGCGTTCGTACTTATTCAATGCAGTAGCAGGTGGTACAAGATCAACATCAAGAGAAGGGAGTCTCCCAGCAATATTTGGAAACCTTTCCTATGTTGGGCTAATATTTTTTAATTGGACAATATTATATTAAGTCTAGTCATGTCTGATTCTGGGAGGTTGGTGCTCATCTCCATTTCTAAACTGAAGAGCCGGCATTGTCCGTAGACACCTCCAAAGTCATTACCGCATGGAGTGCTGTTATTTTCCTGCCGGAGCGGTACCTATTGTGAGCGGTAAAATGTGAGCGGTACTCACATTTTACATGTTTTTGAACTGCTAGGTTGGTAGAAGCTGGGACTAACAGCGGGAGCTCACCCCACTCCTTGGATTTGAACCGCTGATCTTTTTGTGAGAGCAGTACCTATTCATCTACTCACATTTACATGTTAGCTGCTTTTAACTGGATTATATGAGTTTAAAGGTAAAGGTTTCTTCTGACATTAGTCGAGTCCAACTCTGGGGGGTGGTGCTCATTTCCATTTCTAGGCCGAAGAGCTGGCATTGTCCATAGACACCTCCAAGTTAATGTAGCGGCATGACTGCATGGAGTGCCGTTACTTTCCCGTTGGAACTGTACCTATTGATCTACCCACATTTTGCATGTTTTTGAACTGCTAGGTTGGCAGAAGCTGGGGCTAATAGTGGGAGCTCACCCCGCTCCCCAGATTTGAATCACTGACCTTTAGGTCAGCAAGTTCAGCAGATCAGCAGTTTAATCCACTGTGCCACTGGGGGCTCCCCTGGTTAATAGCCATCCTTATATTTGCTTAATAGGTTCTGATATATTTTCGCTTTTCCTTGTTACATTAATTGTATGTTACGGACAATTTCATAATAATCCATTTATTTGGTTATTGTCTTCACAATGGTATCCACTGACTTAGTCTTACTATTGGTTTCAGTATTATGCAAGTACACAACAACTATATCTAGGCACTACTCTCTTTCCAAGCAGACCAACTTTGAGGATATCAGAACAGTACCTTTCGCTGAAAACTGATGACTATTTTGATACGAGAAGAATAAAAGGATTGATGGCATCTAAAAGTGGTTTGCAACCTTGAAGACCACTAGTCATGGAAACCTACTTGGTGACATTGGACAAGTCACACTCTCTCAGCCTCACAGGAAGACAAAGGCAAATTTCCTCTGAACTAATGTTGCACCTTAGAGCAGGCATGAGCAAACTTTGGCCCTCCAGATGTTTTGGACTTCAACTCCCACCATTCCTAACAGTCGGTAGGCTCATGCCTGCCTTAGAGACTTCATAATAGAAATGACTCAAAGGCACACAATAACAACAAACAAAGCCTGCCCCCTCATAGGATAATTTATACATATCTGACTTGAGTTGATGTGTGTCTGTGTATATATATGGATTTGTGCTGAAGTTATTTGGTGGGGAAGCTACCCTGCAAAGCATCTAAAAAAACAATTTAAATTTTGTCAGGAAACGCAAGGCATCTTCACCCCCATCCTTTGATTTTTGAGAGGCCAGGTAAAGCAATATTGGAGCACTCTGAAATCATAGCAGCCATTTATTTTGTATTGACCTTGGGGAATAAAGCTGCCAAGAATGGAAAATACATTATACATAAGTCCCAGAGTGGAAAAATCAAATATAAACCTTATAAATTAAACATTCATAAACTCCACCGACAGAATATTAACTACCGCTAATCGGTCATTCTGCATATCATGCCCTGCAGCCTGCTTAACAGCACAGATTATGCCTACAATCAATTTGGCAGAGATTGATGCCAACTGGCTTCTTCTTAACCCTCCCCAATGCATTCAGCGAGGCTTACTCTCATTGAAGTGTGTATAGCAAACAACTGGTGACCCTCCAGATGTTTTGGGGGTGCAGTTCTCTCCATTGGTGATGATAAGTAGGACTGATGGGACTTGTAGAGCAAAGGCATCTAGGATTGTAACCTTCTCCAAGATAAGTACTTGCCAAATGCTTTCAGCTGCCTTATCTCCAAACAGTGGTTTTCAACCTGCGGATCCCCAGATGTTTTGGCCTTCAACTCCCAGAAATCCTAACAGCTGGTAAATAGGCTGGGATTTCTTGTAGGCCAAAATACCTCAGGACCCATAGGTTGAGAATCACTGCACTAGGAGATATCAATCAAAATCCTAGTGGACACTCATGCCTTTCTAAGTTGGCTTACATCCAGTGGTTCTCAACCTGTGGGTCCCCAGGTGTTTTGGCCTACAACTTTCAGAAATCTCAGCCAGTTTACCAGCTGTTAGGATTTCTGGGAGTTGACAACCAAAACATCTGGGGGCCCAAAGGTTGAGAAGCATTGATCTATGGCAGTGGTTCTCAACCTGGGTTCCCCAGATGTTTTTGGCCTACAACTTCCAGAAATCCCAGCCAGTTTACCAGCTGTTAGGATTTCTGGGAGTTGAAGACCAAAACATCTGGGGACCCAAAGGTTGAGAAGTATTGATCTATGGGAATCTGGCCAATGGCAATTGTATCCCTCTGAAACAGCTGGGGAAAACCAGGTTGTGAAAAGTTGCTCTAATGCATGTATATCTGCTTGTATATGAACACCTAGTTAGCAGGAAATGTTATAGGGCAAGGCTGTTGCCTTCCAGATGACGTTGGACTGCAACGCTCAGCAGCTCTTTAGCCGTTGAGAAGAATACTGGATGTTGCAGTCCAACAACATCATCAGAAGAGACACATTCCCCGTTTCTACTATAGGATAATAGTTTTTTTTCTCTTTGTCAATCTAACTTCACTTCCAGATGTCGTTGGACTACAATACCCAGCAGTGCTATAGCCAGTGATGAGGAATACTGGATGTTGCAGTCCAACAACATCATCAGAAGGGACACATTCCCCAGTCCTACTATAGGATAATAGGGGATTTCAAATGAGACAATCAGAAGAAATCATGGGGACCATTCAGGTCAATCTCCAACTAGTGGAAGACAAATAGTTGCATCATAAAGCATCTATTCAGCAACACATAATGGAAAGAGGGTGTGATTTGGAGATCTTGGACAGCCATTTTGGAACCAGGTAGACATACTACCAGCATGTTCCTATGTAATCACAGACCTTGGGAAAGTTACTTTTTTGGATTGCAATTTCCAGAATCCTGTAATAAGCAGTGTCTGGGGTGCCAGTATCTAGGAGGTTCAGGAAAATATAGCATAAAAAGAGCATTTTCCAAAGTCTGTATTAGACTATGTTAGGAATGATGAGATTTATTTTTTTTATGATGGACAAAAGGCAGTAAGATATGTAAAGAGCCACTGTACGTGTATGCCTATATAAGTCAGGTATGGGCAAACTTGATCCCTCCAGGTGTTTTGGACTCCAACTCCCTCAGGAAGGGTCCTGAGGCTGTTAGGAATTGTGGGAGTTGAAGTCCAAAAACCTCAAGAATCCAAGCTTGCCTATACTTTGTCTATATGCAGTTATATTGATCAGGCCTACAAATAAACAAAGGTCAGCTTCCAAGCCAAACAGGACTTGCCACAACCTTTTAATTTGATGAGATATTCTGTCATATATCATGGTGGTTTGACGGACGATCCTTAAACGCTTTGAATGAATAAAATATTAAGAGTAGGCCTGCTCAATTTTTAATGCCAACCAAGGCATTATATAGAAAGGTAGGAAGTGTGGTGATGGTTGGGATGGATCCAGGTTTCCTCTTTTGCAAAGAGCAGAACATTGAGGAATACTGTAGGTGGGACAACAGAAACACTTACCGGTTTCTCCCTTATTAAAATATGCCCACAGCTTGTCAGCCCGTTTCTGAGGAGTGTTTTCATCATCCGGCAAAGTCTTCTGTTCTTCAGGAGGAATCATCTTGAATATTGCCTGAGAGAAGGAAAGAGAGTAGATAGATAACCTTCGATGAGTACCATTTGGAAGATGGAATCAGGCAAACATTGATATTAGCAGGAGATCACAGCACCCATAGTCACATTTTATCTCTCAGAATCACCCAAACACTATATCTCCCAGAATTCCCTAACCATGATGGCGATACTGGCTCCAGGATACTGGGAGTTGTAGTCCTAAACTTGATTTCTTACTAGGATCCTGATTATAATAGAATCATAATAGTTGGAAGAGTCTTCGTGGGATATCCAGTCCAACCCCCTGCCAAGAAGCAGGAAAATCGCATTTAAAGCACCCCCGAAAGATGACCACCCAGCCTCTGTTTAAAAGCCTCCACCACACTCTGGGACAGAGAGTTCCACTGCTGAACAGCTCTCACAGTTAGGAAGTTCTTCCTCATGTTCAGGTGGAATCCCCTTTCCTGTAGTTTGAAGTCATTGTTCCGCGTCCTAGTTTCCAGGGCAGCAGAAAATTAGCTTGGTTCCTTCTCCCTATGATTTCCCCTCACATATTTACACATGGCCATCATCATGTCTCCTCTCAACCTTCTCTTCTTCAGGCTAAACATGCCCAGCACTTTAAGCCGCTCCTCATGGTGCTTGTTCTCCAGACTCTTGATCATTTTAGTCACCCTCCTCTGGACACATTCCATCTTGTCAACATCTTCCTTCAATTGTGGTGCCCAGAACTGGACACAATGTGATTCCAGGTGTGGTCTGACCAAGGCAGAATAGAGGGGTAGCATGACTTCCCTGGGTTCTTACCTTTCATAGCTATATAGTTTCTAGAAAACAGGAATCTTGCATATCAGTTTTTGTTTTCTCGTCCTTGACACTTCCATTGTTCACTAAAGAGCCCTAGCTCTGATTTTCATTACCTTCCCCCAAAGATAAAGGTTTTGACTGAAGACATAATAGTGTAAACATGTATGAAATTTGGAAATACCAATGTTCAGGAGGAGTATTGGGCAGGATCATATATAGCTTGGCAATGTGGGAGGGCACAAGCCAGTCACACCTAGAAGTGGCAACCTGTCGCATATGGGGGATTTGCAAGTAGGGCATGAATGCAAATTGCACCCTCCCTGCTTGTGTTCCCCTGAAACTGGAATTGAGAGGTATATTGCTTCTAATGCTGGTGGTAATCTATAGCCCCTGGTTATTAATAGCCTTTGATAGACTTAACCCTCCATAACCTTATCTAATCCTCTTTCTGAAACTGTCTGAGTTGACACTTGTCCCTGAATCTTGTGGTAGGAAGTTCCACCATCTTCCTTTCACAGACATCTGACTTCAGCATGAGGACTAAATCCTCTATTGCAGGCGTGGGCAAACTTTGGCCCTCCAGGTGTTTTGGACTTCAACTCCCACAATTGTGGGAGTTGAAATCCAAAACACCTGGAGGGCCAAAGTTTGCCCATGCCTGCTCTATTGCATCTCAGAAACTGAGAACCTAAGAAGTCCAGGGCAGTCCATGTTGACATAAATATCTCTGCCCTTCAACACTTTGTCACATGCCCACCATCAGAGAGGGTCACCTCTCTCCACCTAATGACAAAACTATTTCTGGGAAAGAAGAATAGATAAGAATACCTGCTGAGAGAAAGCAAGGATGGGCGGTTGAGGCCATACAAATAAATTATAAGGATAGCTGTAATAGCAGAAGACCAAGAGAAACACCACTGAGATGTTCAACTACAGCACTGGTTCTCAACCTGTGAGTCCTCAGATGTTTTGGCCTACCCCTCCCAGATATCCCGGCCAGTTTACCAGCTATTAGGATTTCTGGGAGTTGAAGGTCAACACATCGGGGGACCCACAGGTTGAGAACCACTGAACTATAGGATGAGTGCTATCCATCACTTTGCTTTCCTACTCTTCATCCATTGACCTCAGGGTCTAGCTAGCTGTTCTTAGTGTAAATTGGCATGAGGCAAACTATCTCAAACTCCAACAGTGATCCTTGGAGCTAAGTGAGGGTTTGAGCACAGTTCTTCATAAATCAACCCTAGCAATTTGACCAAGATTGGTCTTGGAGTATGAGATTATCTAGCTATGGGTTCAAATGAGTAGTTAGTTCATAAAAGAGATCAGTGGGTTGAACTTCTGTTCTACTTGTTAAGAGGGCCAGATGTTCTCTGAGTTTGAATTATGGGGTAAACCAGTGGTTCTCAACCTGTGAGTCCCCAGGTGTTTTGGCCTACAACTCCCAGAAATCCCAACCAGTTTACCAGCTATTAGAATTTCTGGGAGTTAAAGGCCAAAACATCTGAGACCCACAGGTTGAGAACCACTGGCGTAAACAAAGAGTGGACATCCACATTTTATTGGAGTGACAGTCCTAGCAGCCTTAAGTGGAAAGGTGTGCTGGAAGTTTCCACTCCAAGAACATCTAGAGCAGGCATGGGCAAAGTTTGGCCCTTCTTCAGGTGTTTTGGACTTAAACTCCCACAATTCCTAACAATCTAGAGAGTCACATAAGAGGATGTAGATTTGAATTTATGGAAGGGGAAATCGTTAGACATTGAACACTGCAGCAATGGCCGAATAAAAAAACATGAGAAAGGAATGCCACACATAGAAATGTTCAACTGTTCTGTTTTCTTCTAATTGAACAGTTTCCAATCTGGAGTTCAAAGATAATGTTGGACTATGTTTCCCAGAAGTCCTCACTGTTGACTAGGCACAAGTGGGTTTTGAAAAGACGTAGCTTGACATCTGGAACCACTGTTCTAGTCAGCTTTCGTCTACTGCAGTCATGGGTAAACTTGGGCCCTCCAAGGGTTTTGGACTTCAACTCCCTACCGGCTGTTAGGAATTGTGGGAGTTGAAGTCCAAAACCCTTGGAGGGCCCAAGTTTACCCATGCATGCTCTAGTGAAAATATTCCCAACCATCCTAGTAGAGTTCCCTTTTGCTTCCTCAGTGCTGGTGAAATTCTATTAATTTGGGGTTGAGCCAATCCCTCCATCCACTTGGAGCTGATGTTCAAACAACGGGTTTCTGATGCTGGATGTTTCTACCTGTGCCTCAGCAGTTCATCCTGGAAGCTATTTCAGGAGTGGAGTGTGGAATACATGTATAGATGCACACACTCTTGGGTTAATCCTGGACTTACAAGCGATTATGTGAGCTTCCAGATGGCTTGAGGGGGACCATTATGGGCACTGTCCAAGTCACAGGTACCAGAGAAAACCATAACTGTCTTGAGAGAAGTTAACTTGGCACTGACAAGATGTTCTGCAAAGGGCCAGTAGTGTTTCTGGACTATTTGCAGGTTGGAGAAGTGGGCGGTGGATAGAGGTTTATATGTATTTTTTTCCACCTGAGAGTAGACTTGCAAACCTGTTCAATTATCTGGGTTTATAGAAGGTATGGGCAAAAGGAATTATGGGAGTCAAAGTCCAAAACACCTGGAGAGCCCAAGTTTGCCCATGCCTGCTTTGAGGAATGCAAGCAGAGTGCCCTCTTATGCTCTTTCCTCTGCTGACATTACTATATACAATATTATATATCTATTATGTCGCTCTGTTCCATATCTCTTATCTATCTTTTTGAATATAAGAGCCTCTGAAGAATCTATATATTTCCTTTTACATCACTGGGATTACTAATGTTGTGGTTAAAGTGGATTCTGAGCATGTTTAAAGTATCCGCTCTAATGTCACTCTTTGAAACCAGGACTATGGTTGTATATTGTCGATTACATTGTCTATCTTTACACACGCTCAAGTGCAATGGGAACCTCCTAGTGAATTGCAAAGATACATAATGGTACCCACAAGAGCGCCCTGATATGTAAAGGGGTCTATGGATGCTCGTTGGCATTCTTTGGTCAATATGCATTAAGAGCAACTATAGCACATTGTTGGCTCCCTTATGTAATATTTTTTCGTGTCAGGAGTGACTTGAGAAACTGCAAGTCACTTCTGGTGTGAGAGAATTTATAGCACATTATTGGCTCCCTTATGTAATAATATATATTTTTTCCATGTCAGGAGCGACTTGAGAAACTGCAAGTTGCTTCTGGTGTGAGAGAATTGGCCATCTGCAAGGACATTGCCCACGGGACGCCCAGATGTTTTGATGTTTTACCATCCTTGTGGGAGGCTTCTCTCATGTCCCTGCATGGGGAGCTGGAGCTGACAGAGGGAGCTCATCCGCACTCTCCCCGGATTCAAATCTCCGACCTGTCGGTCTTCAGCCCTGCCAGCACAAGGGTTTAACTCACTGCGCCACGGGGGATCCATGTAATAATGTGATACCATCTTATTGCTGAATAGAAACACTAGGAAACTGCTCAATTCTGTTTCCCGCAAACACAAATCCTATACTGAATTCCAGGTCTTTATGCCTTTTTAATAGAGCAATCGGAAATGTGCTGAAATCTTGCTGAAGGGGGACATCCAGGAGTTCAGCATCACACGTACAATCCACAATATTTCCCCACTCGTAGGCAAAACAAGGAGACAAAGTATATATTTGATATATAAACATACAGGGCAAATTGTTTTGCACATAAAGATCTCATCTGCAGAAAGTACCATATAATAGGATTCAATGGATAACACGTTGAGTATCGAATACAGGCACGAATGTTAAATCAATGTACAACACTGAGCAGTTGTGAATTATTTTTTAATGGAATTATTACTGACTTACCTTATAGGTTTCCTCGTACTGAACAGCACAATGTTATTAAACAGGGAAGTGTGGTTTGGTGTGCTGTGTCGAAGGGATTTTATTTGGCTTTTTTCGTGTGTGTCAGGAGCGACTTGAGAAACTGCAAGTCACTTCTGGTGTGAGAGAATTGGCTGTCTGCAAGGACGTTGCCCAGGGGACGCCCAGATGTTTGATGTTTTACCATCCTTGTGGGAGGCTTCTCTCATGTCCCCACAAGGGGAGCTGGAGCTGACAGAGGGAGCTCATCCGTGATCTCCCCAGATTGGAATCTCTGACCCGTCAGTCTTCAGTCCTACCGGCACAAGGGTTCAACCCATTGCGCCACTGGGGGCTCCTATTTTGGTCAGCTGAAATGCAGGATATATCAACTTAGTAGTATGTCGGGCGCATTTGAATCTCCTATAAGTTGTCCTTAACCAAAACAAGCTTCTCTAGTGCAAAGATTTCCATACATTTAATGTTTTCAGATACGCGTCATTTCGCGACACAGTAATTCAGTTTTACTAGCAAACTGGAAGATAAACCCTTATAAATGGTAATAATGAAATGTATGGGGACACAACTTATCTCATGAAAACTTTCATTGATAGTTTGGAAAATCTTTAATGTATTGCTTATTTCACATAGGGCTGCTGTAAGTTTTTTTGGGCTGTATGGCCATGTTCCAGAAGCATTCTCTCCTCAGGAGAAAATGCTTCTGGAACATGGCCATACAGCCCGAAAAACTTACAGCAACCCAGTGATTCCGGTCATGAAAGCCTTCGACAATATATTTCACATAGACTCAGAGATCTCTAATTATCTTCGAGTGACACACCTACACACTGAAGCTGACACACAAACTTGTCACTGCGCACAGTTTGAAAACCTGTGGAAGAATTTGCCTTGTTTTGTTAAGGCTCAAAACTGGGCAAACTTCGGCCCTCCAGGTGTTTTGGACTTCAACTCCCACAATTCCTAACAGCCGGTAGAAAGTCCAAAACACCTGGAGGGCTGAAGTTTGCCTATGCCTGGTGTAAAACCTTGTGTTCTTTCCCCATCTTTTGCTTTTGGTGTGCCAATTGCCTCCAAAAACCCTTTGGTCTGCTGCTGATGGGCAATTCCAAGGTGCTCACTTGCAACAGGCACAACAGAAGAATTTGGTGACAATTTGAAAACAAATAGTATATTGTGGCAAAAACATTCACGGACTAGAGAAACACTAATTCCCAGGTATTGTTGGATGCCAGCTTTCAGAAACCCCATTAAAGGTACAGGACCTTTCTCCAGTTTTCGGTGCATCAAAGCTTAAGTCACACACGGAGACCAACGCTAAACCTAAGGGATTAACCCAGGTCTGAGGTCTAATGCTGTCACCACTGATTGTACATAATAATCCTTTCCTTAAAGGCCCAAGGAACCGTCTTTGATGTGTATCAATAGGAACGTGGTATTTTAAAACAAGTAATCCACAATCCTGAGCAGATGTTTTATTGCCCAATTTGGATTTCAAAAATGAGCGCTCCCCAGTTTTGTGTCAAGCAAGCGTGAGCAAACTTTGGTCCTCCAGCTGTTTTGGACTTCAACTCCCACAATTCCTAACAGCCTCAGGCCCTTTCCTTTTCCCCCTCAGCCGCTTAAGCGGCTGAGGGGGAAAAGGAAGGGGCCTGAGGCTGTTAGGAATTGTGGGAATTGAAGTCCAAAACATCTGAAGGGCTGAAGTTTGCCCATGCCTAGTGTAGCGAGAACCTATTCACACAACAGTATCAACCCCGTATCTGCGGGGAATACATTCCTAGACTTTGTGTGGACAGGCGAAACTGCAAGTAATAGCAAATCCCATTGAAATGAAGGACTTCTGGCCCAAGAGTACAATTACGTTGTGCTGGAGGACCTAGAAAATACCTAGAGAGGACCTATCTAGTTGGACATGGTTATGGGTGTGTGTCTGTGTCTTAATGTACATAATTATAACATTATTCCACTTTAGCTTCCATGATTTCATCATACCCGAAAACTTGTAATTTGGTGAGATACTAGCTGTGAACCTCCCTAAGTTCCCAATCATCCTCTTGTTTCATTTTACAGGAAAAGCTAAGATATTGGACATGGATAAACGAAACTGCAGCACCAGTCCTGCAGTTACATGTGTGTGCGCACATGCGTTTGTCTAAACGTACATAATTATAACATTATTCCACTTTAGCTTCCATGGTTTCATCATACTCGAAAACTTGTATTTTGGTGAGACACTAGCTGTGATTTCTCAATATACCTCCCTAAGTTCCCAATCATCCTCTTGTTTCGTTTTACAGGAATAGCTAAGCTATACTTTTTGGGCCCTGAAGCAGAAAATCCCACAAGATCCTCTCACCCTGCAGATAAATAAACTCACATAAGAAGTAGTAAACAACTGCTCTTTCATTGCACTCATCTCCTGCAATTGCTTCACTCAGACTAAAGATAAATTCACCCTCAATACCAAAAACAATTTACTACCTATGGTTACAAAAGGAGACTCCTTTCGCGTTCTCTACTACACAATTACGGCACTCTGATCCCACTTTAACTGCACTATCGGTGCAAAATCTTGGCATACGTGGGAATGGTCTGTTTATGATCCCATCTTCTCAAGGTCAGAGCAGAGGAAGTTATTCCCCTGAAGATACAGTTGAAGCAAGGCGAATATTGCACGGAGTGGGTCAGGGATTTAATCCCACCTAATCCAACTTTAATCTCAGATTGCTCTATCTTCTCTTACATGGGGAGGGGGAAAGAGTCTAGAAGCTAGAATAGTGGAGGAAGGTCAGCAACGGCAAGGATTTTTTGGACATGTACACAGAGCTCTGTTAAATCCACAAAGAGGCAAGTAAGGCCAAGTTTATGTGGCTACCGAAGACACCTTCCAACCGAATGCTGTCCTTTTCCATGTTTTGAGTCACTGTTGGATATATCAAGTCTTCCTGGGAAGGAATTTCAGACCATTTGGAATAGCAACAGCCTAAATTTTGTCAACGAAGGTGTGTTGTCAAATAGGCCATGTAAATTGAACCAATCGTTTCAAGTCCTAAGTAATGATACACTATGAAGTATGCCCATGTGACTCTTTAAATATTGTTAAAAAGCTCATACAATATTAGAATTTCCAAGTATCTTTGAGTGTGGTTTCAAACCAGTTTAAATTAGTAGCATAGAGCCGTACAGATTTGGATCTTTTAGAATATACTCTTTCAGAAAGATAGCAATACCTATCCTGCATAAAACATGGGCATTTGCTTCTTGCTGGGGACAGTTGTGGCCAGTGAGATATAATTAGCCATGGATTTAGAACTGTTTACTGCTCTGCCAATCCCGTTCATCTCGTTAAATAGACGTAACAGGATTTCCCCCCCATAGGCCAAGGCTAATTCCATTGGGCAAAAGACAAAGCCTTTGACCAAGGTAATCCCTTGTCATCCCATCACGTCCAGGTGGACTGAGGGGGAGTCACGTGTCCAGTTCTTGCCCCTTCCGTCCTTCCCCTTTAATAAGTATGGCTCCAACATGTGACTATGGTTGGTAACCTATTGTCAATGGGATTTACCTGTAGAGTAAGACACTCTAGTTAAGACTAACCAAGAGGATTACAATTTTCTGTCCCGTAGGAGAATGAACAATGGTTGGTAGGACTGAATTTGCTTCAAGCATAAGCAAGCTTGTGATCCAGCTCCATGAATGGGACTATATGTCTCTTTGAGAGATCTGGATATGAGCTAGCCACTTTCACTGGTTTCCATCTACTGAAATGGACTTGGGTTGAATATATTGCCATTCCAACTGTAAGAAGACCTGATGTAAAGGGATATGCACCCCAAATCAACTACTACCCAGAGAAAAACATTAAACAACTCAACAGTTCAGTGGCTTCTTCAGTGAGTTATCCGCCAAGACACCAGACTTGGAGGACCATCATCCTCAGGCTACGAGGGATCGCGTAAGTAAGTAAGTATCCTCCAAACAGTCCTGTGCAAAAGATCCACAACAGTTAGCCTCATAAATGTAATTGAATCCACAGCACACTGTGGTGGGAAAGCTCTCAACTTGGATCTTCCCCGTGACCCTTTCCCCATGGCTCCCTGTCCCTCTCACCGCCCCACACATCCCCTTCACTTACTGCAACGATCTCAAGAACCTCATGTTTGCTGATCTCTCCATTGCGATCCACATCAAAGAGTGAGAAAGCCCATTCCAGCTTGAGGTTGGTCTTGCCGGTGGAGGTGAGATGGAGTGCAATGATGTACTCCCGGAAGTCTAGGGTCCCATCGTCGTTGGTGTCAAAGCTTCGGAAGACATGCCGGGCATAGACCTTGGGATCAGAGTTGGGGAAGAAGTTGCCGTAGATCTTTTCAAACTCAGCCCGGCTGATGCGCCCATCAGGACACTGCTTTTGGAAGCTCTCATACCATTTGCACAGCTCATCTTCCGAATACTTGGTGTTCAGCTTCAGATCTTCCAGGATCTCTTTGGACAGAGCTCCGCTCTTGCTATTGCCCATGGTTTGGGTGTATGCTCACGCACCCCACGCCGCTTCACCAACAGTTCCTGGCTTGTCCTTCCTGCCTTGTTTCAACCTAGCCAGTGGAAGGCCTTGTGCCCAGGTCACCTTCTTATATAGACTCCCTGGGATGGATGTGGGTGGAGTCGGGACTCTGGAGTCCTCACTTTGCTACACCTGGTGGCCATGATGAGTCTGCATGTGTGCACACACATATTGTACACACAAAGGGAGAGAGATTGAGAGAGGGGGCTATTTTAGGTTGCGCTGATCACATTTGCTCCAAGCTCTTTAACGCCAGGGAAATCGGATTTGGGCTTTGCGGGCCTTCCTCGCTCCCTCCTTCCCTGTTGCCCTCCTGGCCTCTCTTTCCTTAACGTTGGGCACGGTTCCTCAACATGTGCCAGCCCTCAAAGTGGCTGGGCAAGGGGTGAGTGGGTGGGGAAAGCAAAATATCTATTGAAAAGAATGAAAACATGCCGATCACCCTATGAGGAGATGGCATATGTAGAGTCGAGTGGACAGATGGCAACACAGTGGAAGCTATTGCTCTCTTGACCCCAGGAATTGGTCTACCTTAAGCAGAAAAGCACCCTGTAGATTAATAGCACTTCTGGTAATAAACAACCACATGAAAAAAGCTGATAAGACATGCAGATCATGACAAAATAGCCAAAATCAACTACTTTTCCAAGTGCCACCAAGTGTCATAGGAGAGATGAAAAGTTGCAGTACTATGTAACAATACCTGAAAGTAACCTTTATTGGAAACAATAGGATTTAGACCTTCTGCCAGTCAACAACTGATTCAAAGGGTTTGGCTAAGTGAAACTAAACAACTACAACCCTACTTCATCACAAGAGGACCTAAACCAGGCATGGGCAAACTTTGGCCCTCCAGATGTTTTGGACTTCAACTCCCACAATTCCCAACAGCCTCAGGACCCTTCCTTTCCCCCCCTCAGCCGCTTAAGCGAGTTGAAGTCCAAAACATCTGGAGGACCAAAGTTTGCCCATGCCTGACCTAAACAATAATCAACATATGGATCCTGCTTCTCAGATACCACTTATGGTGATCCATGCCTCATAAAATCAATAAACTTCCTTCCTTCGAAGCCATGTGCGTTCAATGCTCACATGGAAAGTTTGCCTCTGCCTTTGTGCTCCTTTGCCTTAAATACATTGGATGCATATCATTAATTATTCAAAGAAGGTATCCTTATATGGAAAAGACAAGAGAGACTCCTCCCATTGCATCCGTGAGCGTAGTAAGGAAGGAACTGTAAATGGGAGCAGGTGGGTTTAACCTGAGCTTGTAAATATTCTCATCTCACTGGCTCATCCTTTTTTCCCTAGTAATGGCAATGGGAAGGTGAGATGTGCAACACTGTACATACTTGCTCCAAATTTAGGCCTGAACTGGAAGTCTTGCCATTTTATTTATTTATCGTGTCAGAAGCAAATTGAGTTATAATGTATAGAAAAACCACAAACAAAGTTAAAAACTTAACATTATACTAAATTTCCTTTGACCAGAAGCTGGACACTTTGAGTGCCTATGGTGTCACTGTAAGAAGGTCCTCTATTGTGCATGTGGCAAGGCTCAAAGTGCATTGTAGTAAGTGGTTCTTGGTTTGCTCTCCTCCACATGTTGCAGACTCCACTTTGTAGCCCCATTCCTTAAGGCTGGCTCTGCATTTCGTGGTGCCAGAGCGCAGTCTGTTCAGCACCGTCCAAGTCTTGCAATAAGGAGAAAAGAAAGATTGCTTTTACATATAATTAAAAACATATAAAGAAGGGATCATAACAAGAAGGTGGATTTAATCTGAGATTATGAAAAAAAAAACGCCATCTGGCTGGCTCTCTTTCTTCTCCTGATTACAGTGGGTGAGTGTGGTATTGTGCTTTAACAGTGAAATCCTGTGCATGCTTACTCAGAATTATGAGCTGAATCCAGTTCTGAGGGCCCTTTCACAGTTATAATACTTCAATTTTGTTAATGGGCATGGCTGCCATACAGGCATGTAGCTGGGGGGGGGGGGGGGGCTTCAGCCCCCCCGGTGGGGGTGGGGGTGGGGGGTGGTCCATGCGAAGGCCTTACTGGTGCATTATTTAAACTGTTATGTTTATTCATATCATGATCTGATCACCATACTCAATATATCCCATATGCATGGGGGTATTGGGGTAATGATACAAAAGGTTTGCTAGGCTAGCCCCTCTTCCACTCAGACTCAGCCCCCCCCCCGAAACTCAGCCCCCCCCCCGAACCCCCTGAAAAAAATTCAGCCCCCCCCCCCAAAACGAAATCCTGGCTACGGGCCTGCTGCCATACCTCCCAACTGCCCCAATTTGGCAGTCATGATGCGTCCCCTGTTGTCTCACTTTTTTCAGCTACTCTGTTTTCTTCACTTTTTTCAGGGTGTCAGAGGGGTCGCCAAAAACCAGCAGAAAGCATAGTATTTTCTCTTGGTCGTGGGGGTTCTGTGTGGGAAGTTTGGCCCAATTATATTTGGTGGGGTTCAGAATGCTCTTTGATTGTAAGTGAACTATAAATCCCAGCAACTGCAGCTCCCAAATGTCAAGGTCTATTTCCCCAAACTCACCAGTGTTCACATTTGGGAATATTGAGTATTTGTGCCAAGTTTGGTCCAGATCCATCATTGTTTGAGTCCACAGTGCTCTCTGGATGTAGGTGAACTACAACTCCAAAACTCAAGGTCAATGCCCACCAAACCCTTCCAGCATTTTTTGTTGGTCATGGGAGTTCTGTGTGCCAAGTTTGGTTCAATTCCATTGCTGCTGGAGTTCAGAATGCTCTTTGATTGTAGGTGAACTATAAATCCCAGCAACTACAACTCCCAAATGACAAAATCACCCCCCAACCCCACCAGTATTCAAATTTGGGCGTATTGGATATTTGTGCCAAATTTGGTCCAGTGAATGAAAATACATCCTGCATATCAGATATTTACATTACGATTCATAACAGTAGCAAAGTTAAAGTTATGAAGTAGCAATGAAAATAATTGTATGGTTGTGAGTCACCTCAACATGAGGAACTGTATTAAGGGGTCATAGCATTAGGAAGGTTGAAAAAGACTGCAGTAAGGTAATGCTCAAGGCAGACTCTATTAATATATGGAGCGAGAGTTGCCAGATGTACAAGCTGGGTTTAGAAAAGGCAGAGGAATGAGAGATCAAATTGCCAACATCCGCTGGATAATGGAGAAAGGCATCTATTTATGTTTTATTTACTATTCTAAAGCCTTTCACTATGTGGATCATAATAAATTGTGGCAAGTTCTTGGTGGCATGGGGATACCAAGTCACCCTGTCTGTCTCCTGAGGAATATGTATAATGACCAAGTAGCAACAGTAAGAACTGAACATGGAACAACAGACTGGTTCAAGATTGGGAAAGGAGTATGGCAGGGTACTCACCCAACCTATTCAACTGGTATGCAGAACACAGCATACTCCAGGAAATAATGCCCAGCTGCTCATTGGAGGGAAGGATATTGGAGGCAAAGATGAAGTACTTTGGCCACATCATGAGAAGACAGGAAAGCTTGGAGAAGAGAATGATACTGGGGAAAATGGAAGGAAAAAGGAAGAGGGGCCGACCAAGGGCAAGATAAATGGATGGTATCCTTGAAGTGACTGGCTTGACCTTGAAGGAGCTGCGGGTAGCCATGGTCGACAGGGAGCTCTGGCATGGGCTGGTCCATGTGGTCAGGAAGAGTCAAAAGCGACTGAACAAATAAACAACAAAAAAAATCTCTTTCTTCTTCCTAATTTCCACCTTCATCCTCTGCTAGTTTATTTGATGCAAACTTGAGTTCATCTCGTCAAAGTAGTTTGCAACTCAGCAGAGGCGGTGAGAATATAGACTCAGGCAAAAGCAAACTGCTGGTTTTTTAGGCCTATTCCTTAGATTATTTGGGGCTTTGATTCAGAAAATTCCATTAAATAGACCACAACAGTTCTAGTTTCCAAGATATGGTTGGTTATCATGATTTTCTATGGGCAAGCAGATTACGATAGGAATAGGTCATATGTGTTGGAGCATGCAAGGAATCAGTGAGAGTGTGTGTGCATCAACTGTAAAATAAGATGCATGAAGCTGATTGGTCGGGCAATGCCTGGGGACCAGGCTGAGCCTGGGACTTTTTGTTACTGTTACATTTTTGTTCAGGCTTGAGCTATGCAAGTGCTCAGAGAGAAGCAAGGAGAGATAGAGTTTGGAGTGCGCTCTCGCTTTATGGGCTGCAGAAAGATTTTATCCATACAGCCAAAGAAATACAATTTTTAAATCTCTCATAAAAGGACATTATGTGAGTTGATGCAACTGATCACATTGTACATTTGTTGTTCTAAATTTACGAAGAGTAAACTACTTGTGCTTTAGTGTTCATCTGTGTGGGCATATTTTCTTTCTCTGGCAAGGCAGTGTGTGGGCTGATCAAATGTGAACTACATGTTCTTTATTTTACATTGTGCCACTATATGTTCTGTATCTCAAGAATTAGAGCTGATTGGGGAAAACTGGTGCCATTTTTGGAATTAGCAGGTCAGATATACAGAGAAACAGGGCTAACATTTGTGACACTAAAATGCGTGTTTGCCAGTGATAATCCTGGATAGTGTTTCCTTTTACCTGCCTAGGGATGCATCTACGTTGTGGAATTAATGCAGTTTTAAACCACTTCAACTGCCATGGTTCAATCCTATGGAATAATAGCAACTGTAGTTTGGTGAGGCATCAGCTTTCTCTGGTAGATATCATTAAAGACTGCAAACCAAAGCCTTGTCTCAGACTGGCTTTCATTGATTTCTCCATCTCTTTAGATCAAATTCGCCTCCTCAAAAGACCCCGGTATCTGAGTTCCCAGCCTCCTCTGCTCTAACCCATAGGTAGCACTATCTCTCTGAGGCTCTTACGTAGGTTCACCTACTGGTAGCTAATTGCATTGGGCCACCGCTAATTTGACTGTCCCTTGCTGCCCTTGGCCATATGCTCAATCCGCTTTGTCCATCCAGATCTGTTCGTAAAGCAGCATTAGTGTCAAAAGCATTAGTGTCAGGATTCAGTTGGTGT